TTCGGACTGAATCATTCCATGTAATATTGCATAATCACATTTCTGCTTCCTGGATTATTCCACTTCAACCACCTGCAGTTCATCACACATAAACTTCACCTCGTTTCGGCGCGGAGGCTGTAGGCGTTACGGAAACTTTCCTCACTTTCGGCGTCTCTGCGCCCTGCGCTCCTCCCAAGGAGTTCAGTGAGTTGGGAGCTGAAGCGCTCGGACTAAGTCCACTCACTTTCTCCGCCTCCTCCACAGTACTCAGCTTGGATGAGTTCGACAGCGTTGGCAAGACTGGCGCCTTCTCGCTCATAATATTCATTGTTAAAGAGGGCGGTTGATCGAAGGCACCCTGAGCCTCTAGCGACCGTTTCGAAGTCACTGAGGCTGTACTGGTAGACACGCCCGAACCAATCGAGTCCTTCGACTGATGTGAAAAGTCCGAATCGCCAGACGATCCATGATGGTCCACATCCAGATGTGCTTGCAAATCATTGGTCAGCTCGGTTAAAGTGAGGGGCGCCACCGGACTGACCGGATGATGCGGCTCGAATGCCTGGATAAAAGTCGGATTTTGTACATTCTGAGCATCGAGGGCGCGAGCAAATAGAGGACTGTTGCGTGCGGAATTAAACCCTAGTTGAGTGAGTTGTGAAACGGTCATTGGAACGCTAACGGGCGAGGTCAATAAAGGCCCCAAAGTGGGTGAAAGCACTGCTTGTGCCAAAGCTGCGGTGCCAGGTGAATGAGCATGAAGTGTATTATTTACAGATCCACTACCATCTAGCTCTTGAATCGGTGACAAGACGACCTGCAACCAAATTGTTCGGTGATGCAACAGTCAAAAGGATGGACTACTTACTTATTCTAAAAGCATTGGGTTGAGTTCATGCATGCTAAGGATGGGACTTAACAAACAAATCTGGATGAGCACCAGTGAAACTTGTGCAACTTGCCAAGGAAGTGCGCTTCTAAACCGGGTTCGGTAGTGTTTAAAAAAATTCCTGTACCTGAACGACTGGAAAATCGTTTGAATTGTAGCCTGGATATCCAGACAACTGTTGGGGCATCAGGGTGAGGCTGGCCGACGACACCGGAATATTATTGTTGGTCGACAAAGGAACTTGGCGGAATTGGTTTTCCCGTTCGAGCACCTCCTTGGTCACATCGGGCGTAGGAATCCTCGGTCTGTTCTTTATGTGCATTGCAGATGTACCGGCAAACTTTTGATCTGGAAAATATCATCATCATTACCATTGCTTTTATTCAACACGCAGCACGGAAGCTGATAGATTATTTCATAATCGAGATGAGAGATTATTTCGTTATGAAATAAACGATATACAAATTTGTATTTTACACTTTGACGAAAATACGAGTTAGAGCCAAATTTAGTGCGAGCTGCAGTGGGAGCCACTCATCCAGCTTTAAAGTCAGGGGGGGGTTATGTAGAAAAATACAGTCTTCTGTTGTTTATGAACTTAGAAAAATGATCGTCGTTTTGTGCAAGGGTGGCGCAAGATTATTGCAAAA